TTTTGGGTAATTTGGAATTGCGATGTTTTTCATTTTTAAAACCTCCTTTTTTTTTTCTTTTTTTTTTTTTTCTCATCCGCAGCATTGGGAGTTTAGGCAAGGAAATGGATGAGGAAGGAGTGCAACATGTGACGGTTAAAACTGTTACATTTACTGGGACACAAAACGGTTTGAGAATAAAGACATGGGGACAACCTAGCAAGTGTTTCGTCAATGATGTGCTCTTCCAACATGCCACCATGGTTGATGTCCAAAATCCCATCATCATCAATCAGAATTATTGTCCTCACAATCAAGGTTGCCCTGGCCAGGTAATCTTTCAGCACCGACATTTTTGGAACAAAAATATTTTTGCTTTCTACATTTATTAAAATGATAATTTTATATGTTTGCAGGCTTCTGGGGTGAGGATTAGTGACGTGACATATCAAGACATACACGGGTCATCGGCGACAGAAGTTGCAGTGAAAGTTTGATTGCAGTGAAAAATACCCATGCGGTGGGATGAAATTGGAAGATGTAGACTTGTCTTTCAGAAATCACGCTGCCCAAGCTACCTGTGCCAATGTTGGAGGAACAACTTCAGGGGTGGTTGTGCCTAGAAGCTGCTTGTAGCAAGATGTGAGAAGGCAGCGAGAGGAACTCAAATGCTTTTTGGTGCTTATCCCCAAGGATGTGTCTCTGTCCCACTAGTTTCTAGCTTAATTAAGTAGTGATTAATAGCAGTTTTATAAGTTGTATTACGTATTTGCTGGAGTCTGTGGCTGTATTGGCTCATCTCTTCTGAAGCCTGGCCTAGCAACTGGTGTACTTCCAACACCCATTTTGGAAGTTAATTAAGAAAAATGAAATTGAAAAATAATTATTAACCCAAATGTGGTTTTCTTTGTTCTGTTTTATTATTCGGTTATTTTCCCTTTTTTGTGGCGTTTTCAAATTGGAATTAAGAGAGTGACAATCTTTCTCCATCGTGGCAGTCACAAATTTGTTTCATTTCTCCATTTTGTAATTTTTTTTTGTTGGGAGCCATAATTTCTTATTCGTTTTGAAAAACAAAAATTAAAAATCCTGTTGTTTCTAAATCATAATAGTTAATTTCTTTGAAATGGGTCTGTTTTTAAAAAATAAAAGTGATTTTAATATGAAATCAAAACAGTAGAATTTGCAGTTGAGCAAAATTGTCAAATGGCAGTATACGGAAGAGAATAAGTGAACGAGGAAATTCGTTGTAGTAAGAGTGAGTGGGTAGTGACATCATGACAACGTTATCTTAATTTTGTTTTTACGATTTGGTCAGAATCACCGTGATTTGCGCTAGATATCCAAGCAGCAATCTTCGGAAGAATTAGAAATGCTACCGACGGTTCACCATCTCGAAGCTAAAACTACAGACAGACCCTCCAACCACGTCTCCGAATCGTCAAATTCAAACCACCATGTGTTTTTAGCAGTCCGCCAACGTTGGAGCGACGGTATGCCAACGAAAAGGGTAATTACATATTTTCAATTCTAAAATTTCATCTTGATTTCAAAATTAATTTTAATCATCTTGATAGTACTCAAAATTTACGTGCCCCAAGATTGTTTTATTAATATTGGAAATCCTCGTCATTCTTCTCTCTGAAATTCTGCCTATATAAAATCTTTTTTTTTTTTTTGGTTACATATAAAATCTACTTTTTTTTACAAGTTTTATTTGTGAACTAAATATATTATATTTTTAAAATCTAAATATTTCAAAAATTTTTAAACAATTTTTGACATGGATTTCTTAGGATTTCTGAAGTTTTATGAAACATTTTAAGAAATTTAAAAAATGTTTCTGCTAAAATGTAGCTCGTGAAAGCTCGTTCTAGAAAAACTACCAAATTGGTTCTAAAAAGTAGTTTCCAAGTCATTTAGCTGAAGTGATGACTTTTTTTTAACTTTTCAAATGACTCTCAAACACTGCCTAAAAATTAATATATAATTTGGTTGAAATTGCGTGAACCAAAGACTAATTAGGGAGCCGGGCGTTGATCTTGCATTACATGCATGCAATACAGAAAAGAATCCCGAGAAACACGCATATAAGTACGGCATGTATAACGAGTGAACACAACACCCGTTTAAAGGGAAGCTTGGGGGGGGGGGGGGTATTACGCCGTATATGGTGTGAATCTCATCACGTTAATGTTGATTTAATCTCGTGTATATGCTTTCTTCTGCCTTTTTCTTTTTTCTTCCTCTTCTTCTTTATTTACTTGACAAACCCTTTGAATAATTCTTCTTTATCACGAATTCTCTGTTGCTCTATCTCTAGTTACTCACTCTTCATACTCTTCCTGCCCATGATAACATTAATGATTTAATTTTTATTATCTCATTTTTTTATTTTTACTAATAAATCTCGAAAGCTATTTTGCTATGTATGACTTCTAAAACCCATAAAACAAAAACATTATTCATTAAAAAATATATATTATTAAAATTGTATTACAAATAATCAACCCTGAGGTCAAATCATGTGCAAATTTTTTTTTTAATAAAGTTCAGGGAATATTCCCATGTACCACGTTGCTTATTTCGCTAGAGATTAGTTCCACAGCAAGGTCGTTTTGTTCGTTATGAACCAAAAAGCAATAAAAAAGTAGCTTGAGAGTAGGGAAGTAAATGGGTCGGGTTCGAGTGAGATATTGAAATACTTATATCCATATATGAATAAAAATTTAATATCCATATTCATACCTATATCCAAATGGGTAAAGAATTATTTATCTATATCCATATCTATTTAAATATTACTTATCCATATCCATATCTATATCCATTTAAATACTATTTACCCATACCTAAATCCATATCTATTTTAATACCAGTCACTCATATGCATATATATTTAGTAAATAATTTGGTATGTAACATAATCATAGATAATAGAGAGATTCCAAAAGAATTACAATTTTTTTCAAAATTTTAAAAGTTAAGAAAAGATAATTTTTTAACAAAAATAGATAATTTTAATTCATTAATTGCAATGAGAAAAAAGAAGATAAGTTAATGCTGTTCAGGGAAAAAACTTTTAAAAGTACATTTAAAAATTTAAAAATGATCAAATATTTATTTTTAAAATATTAAGAAATATTGTTAAAAAAATATTATCTGTTTTATTAGATATAAAACTATGATCTTTATTTTTGACAACTCAGCATTTGATGAAATTTGATGAGATTTGAATTTCAAATTTCTATTTTTAACATTTGGATTTAAAAAAATAAAAAACAAGATTTGGATTTCATGAAATTTGATTGGATTTTACTTAACTTATTAAAATCCCATACAATCTTATCAAAACTGACAGGATTTGATAGAAATTGGATTTCAAAAAATTTATTTTCAAAATTTTAAATTATTAGTATTTTTTACTAAAATGGAAGGAAAAGAAAAGAAAACAAATAATAGAATTACAGAGAACTCTGTTTCCTACTTGTTCAATAATTTCTCAACATATATACATTATGTGTGTGTGTGTGATCTACTTTTTTTAATTGATTTGAATTTATAATTTTTTTTATTTGGATTTTCTTTTCATTAACATTAATCATCCTCTAATTTACTCTCAAATTTAATATTTTTTATTTAATCTATTTTTTTCAATTTGTAATTACTATTCTACACCAATGATCATAAATACGAGAGATTGAATTGGAGAAATTGGCCATATATACATTTACCTATCAAAGGATAATAGGTGTAAATTGTTTCCATATTTTTCCATTCACAATTATCTTTAAAATAAAGAATTTCAATTTGTATAGCACAATTTAATTGTATATATTAAGTAGAGAATATTAAAAATATACAACTTTCAAATTAAATAGAGTAACAAGACAATTCATATTTTCAATTATCATCTTCTAGAAAATTATTTTCCGCCTCTATTTTATAGCTACTTAAGAGAAAAATAAATCGTTATTACAAATTTCTTTCATTTTAGCTACTGTGTGCTTTGCTCTATATCAATAAAAAAACTTTAAACATTTTTAAATTGATTTGAATTAATTCAATATAATTTTAGTAATATATTTTATTATAATTTAAATTTTATTAGTTTAAATTATAGTTTTATTAATAATGGTATTTTTTGTTTTGTTTAATATTTATTTTAGATGTCAAAATTGAATAATAATTTGATCACTATACAGTTAGTGTATGGTAAACACATATAAATTATGTTTTGTACTCCTTCAAAACCATTTTATTGTTTGTCAAATATTTAATTAAATAATTATTAAATTTGAATTGTAAAATTATCAAAGTTTAGTTTTACTATTGTAATTTAAATTTATTACATGTTCCTTTTCAATTTAATGATTACGTATTTTTATATAAATAGTTAAATTCTTTCTTTTTTGGTAAAATATGTTTTTATAATATTTCAAAAATATTTGAATTTCCAATATTATATATCTTATGAATTATAATGCTCATATAAGAAAAATATTTTAGGATGTTATACATAAATGTGTATATATATACATGTATATATATAAATATATATATGTATATATGTATGAAATTCGGGTATATAATGCAGGTAATTGGATATAGGTATACGGGTATATAAATACGGATATATGGGTATGGGTATTCGGGTATTTTGGTATTATTATATAAAAACCATATTCGAACCCGAACCTGAACCCAAAAAAATATAATAACATGTAACCGAACCTAATTCAGAAACCGAATTGTAATGACCGAATCCTAATCCAAGTCAGGTAAATGGTTCGGGAACTCGCAAAACCCGAATCCATTTACATCCCTACTTAAGAGACCTGCTAGTAACGACACCGTGATCTTCTTTTTTCGGTTTATTAGTTAGTCTGCCGCCCTAGCAATCTGTACATATACAACGATGTCCACACCACCTAAAGCCTCATAACCGTCCTAGATATGTCAAAATGGGCTCTCTTATTCCTCTTGCACTCGTCTTTATTTTCTTTCGCCAATCCTCAGCTATGATCTCCACTTTAACATACGTTAATGTGGTAAGCTTGGGAGCCAAACCTGATGGGAAGACTGACTCGGCCAGGCCTTCCTCGAGGTGTGGGTTGTGGCCTGTGGATCATCCAGGCCGGCAACGATTCATGTGCCTCCGGGAAGGTACTTGGTTGGAAAGGCCAAATTTGTGGGGCAATGCAAGAACAATAACATCACATTTTGTGTTGACGGCACCCTTGTGGCACCCTCCGACTATAAAATTATCGGAAGTGACGGTAATTGGCTTCTGTTCCATGCAGTTGACAGAGTTTCTGCCATCGGTGGACTCCTTGACGGCCAAGGCTCTAGCCTTTGGGCTTGCAAGGCCCCTGGAAAAATTTGTCCCAGCTAGGGGTGTTCACGATTCGATTTGGTGCGGTTTGATACTCAAATTCAAACCTAACCATACTTTACGGTTTGAAATTTTCATAAACCAAACCGAATCGTGGTTTACGGTTTGGATCGGTTTCAAACCACGTTTTGTGATTTACAAAATAAAATGAATTAAATTCACTGTTCTTATAAAAATTTTAATAGAGTTTTCCTAAAAATTAATCATCTATTTTTTCCCAAACATATTTAACTTAATAAATTTATTATTTATTAATTAACTGTAGTAATTATATATTTTATAATAAATATATTTATACAATTTTACAAAATTTCACTATTACTAATAGAAATTACACTCTAAAAAAGAAAAATAATCAATTATTAAAATGAATATAAATATAAAAGATAACAAAAAGAAGAAATATACAATCAAATAATAAAAATATACTATATATATAAAGATAAGATTTTTAATTTTGTATATATATATAAACTATACGATTTGGTTCGGTTTATACGGTTTGTCTAAATATCAAATTCAAACCAAACTACACTATATGGTGTGGTTCGGTTTATGAAGTCTAATCGGTTTGGTTCCGTTTGTTGAATACCCCTAGTCCCAGCAGTGCTACGGTGAGTTAAAAAACGAAAGAAAAAAGGAGTAAATAATATCAATGGTCCCTGATTATTTGAGAAGTTTCGATTGAGTCCTAAATTTCAAATTATTCAAGAAATCCCTCACCAATGCCCTGGTTAAATCAATGTAAAAAGAAAATCGGGGCAAATGACTTTAACTTGTCTTTTTCAAAATAAAAAAAAACTGAAATATTTCAAGCTTTTTTGCGCTACTTTTATTTCAAATTTCGGTTTAAACTATGTTAATAACTTGAATTTCTTTGCTCATTCCGACATGAAAAAGTTATATCCAAGTCAGGGTGTAGCTTTCCTTTAATTTATTTATTTATTTTGGATGGGGATGATTTTGACTAAGACTTCGGCTTTAATTCAATCTGTTAATATAAGAACTTGATTACCAAAATTAGAAGTAAGGAGATATTAAATTTAGAATCTGCAAATAATTGGGGACCAGAAATGTAATGTGTTCAAAAACTTAGCAATTTGCATGTGCAGACACTGGGCTTCACAAAATCAAACAATGTGGTGATCAGTGGATTGACCTCTCTGAATAGCCAGATGTTCCACCTCGTGATCAACGGCTGCCGCAACGTCAAACTCCAAGGAGTAAAGATCTCGGCTGTTGGAGACAGTCCGAACACTGATGGTATCCACGTGCAGATGTCCTCAGACGTCTCCATCTTCAATTCTAGGATTAGCACCGGCGACGACTGTGTGTCCATAGGTGCAGGCACCTCAAACCTCCAGATTCAGAATGTGTCTTGTGGTCCTAGACATGGGCATTAGGCAATACCTGTAACACCCCGAACCTCGGAGTTTTATTCAGTCGAGCCAAAATAAATTAATAATAATATTTTAGTGAAAGTCGTGGATGGGCCATTGATTAACGATCTAGGAGCTCAATCAGCGAAATTGAAAATTTTAATAAAAGAATCAAGGAATTAGGGTTTAAATTAAGGGGGATTAAATTAAAAGGGACATGGAATTGAAATTTTAGGGATAAGATCGAATGAAATAAAAGAACAGAGACCTAATTAGAAATTAAAAGGGTGGCGATTGAAGGGAATTAAAGAGGAAAGGGTCAAAGGGAAGGTGTAGTAAATTCGGGGTTAGATTGAAAATTCATCAGGGACCCATTTAAAGGGAATCAAAAACTCAAGGGTCAAAAAGAAAAAAAAAAACAGAGAGCAATGGCCGACCTTCGTAAGGTTGGCAATAATGACGGTCACCAACTTGGGGAAGGTTCCAGGCCGGACTGGAACTCCTTTAAAAGGATGAATGGTCACCTATCTTGGGATCAAGGGAGAAATCCCGATCTATTTCAAGCCCATACTGAGAACATAAAACAGATTTTTTCTCTGCTTAACCGAGAGCCCTTTTCTAGAAATGTTCTTGTAAAACTGGGGTGCCGGATTCAAACACATTCTAAAAGCATGATGAAGACTTCCATAGTTCAAGCATTTGTGCAGGTCGGAGTTTAATTGGACCTCACCAGTCCAGACTTCCCAATTGCTACAACCTGTCGTACAGTGGTTCGACTGAGCCAAAGGAGAAACTGAGGACTCTTGGCCATCGTGAGCTAGAAATTCAACTGGAAGATGGTTCAATTAACTTTGCAGCCATGACCCTTATTAAGTATTATTGAGCCAAAATATTTCTGGGTCAATGATGATTTGAGTCTTCTATAATTTGCCGGAGCAGAGGAGAAACCAGTAGGATTTTTCAGCTGTCCAGGCAGCGAAGTCCATCTAGGAAGAAGATAGCCCAGCTCGTTAAGGGCTCTAGTATCTAGGTTCAAATCGGGCGACAGCAGGATTCAGGTATGGCTTGACACCTTGGTTTTGGCCATTCAGGTCTGCACGCAGGGGAGACGGGCAAAGGAGACAGAGCCCGATAGAAGTCGGGTCTGTCTGGGCCCGGTTCACCCAAATCGGGTTTAGGCCGATCAAGCTTGGAATGGCCGGTTCAGGCCGATCTAAAGGGTTTCCAAGCCGGTTCATCCTAGTTCTGGAAAGGACAAATTAGGATATATTTGAATTAGTCCTTTTCCTAAACCGGGTCAACCTAATTTCTGCTGGTTCAACATGAATTAGATTGGTTTAAGGCTAATTAAAATAAACTAGCCCGGTTCAGGGATAAACTAGGCCGATTTGGTGCTATTCAGGCGAATTTAGAAGACTTTGGACTTGGAATTGGCCGGTTCAATGACCCTTAAAGCTGATTTAGGTTGGTTTCATGATAATTGAATCGATTTAAGGGCATTTGGGCCCGATTTAAGCCGGTTCAAGCCGGTTTAGAGGGTTTTGGGTGTGATTTAAGTCGGTTTAGGGGAAATTAAAATTGGTTTAAGATAATTGAAACTAGTTCATAGAACTTATCCCCCCGGTTAATACCATTTGAGGCCGAGTTGTGCTAGTTCAATGGGGATTTTGTCCGGTTCAAAGATAATCAAGTGAAATTAAGTTAAATTAAGGATTTTAAATACAGGTTAGAGACAAATTAGTGATTTAAGAGATTCATATGCAAATAAAATTACCGGTTCTCTAAGAACAAGTAAAACTTAGATTATTTTCATATATTTACCAATCATTACCTGAACTTAAACCTAGATAATTTATGAATTTTTAAGGTAGAGAGAGTACGAGCATCCAAAGCATCATTGAGACTAAAATCAAGGAATTTGATGGACTACAAATGAGTGGCATCTTCCTAATCTTAGTTATTTTTCAAAATATGTTTTCCTTTATTAAACAAAAATAAAAATCCATAATGATTGTATCTGATAAACCATCTAGATGTTAATATTCAAAAAGGAAATAATCAGTTATTTTTTGATTTCTGTTATATGTTCGATTTAATAATTTCATAAAGAAAATTAAAAATCTATTTTTCAAAAATGTTCTATATTGATATATAAACCTGGGAACACCTCAATTATGTTCTAATTTCAGTCATATGACAGATTTGATGAGATTCATGATTTTTCTAATGTTTTGTATGCGTCGGCACCAGAGTTAAATGTCGGGCAACCACCCGAGGCAGGTGGTAGTTCTACATGCATCACAGTATATCACATAGTATACGATAGAGCATAGTATTTGAATCCCGTCAAGGATTCCAGAGTATTACAGAGGCCATAGACTGTGTCAGTCTAGCTGAGGGAATTGCGGCAGCTCTCAGTATAGATTACACAGTGTAGTAGCACCCGACATGTTTTATGAATTTCATGTTTTTATGATTTTACTGCCTCCACAGATGCACCAGTATCGGTTGTGCACACCGATTAGAGACACACACATGATATATGCACCATAATTCTTATGATGTCAAAGTTTCTATGTTTTCTGAATTCTTCAGATATATATAGACTAGTATCCTGATCGATGATCACTATGCAAATATAATCTTCTCATACAGATTTGATGTTCTTGACTTGAGTTAATTGCTATGATATGCTCATGGAATTTTGTGAAAAAACATGTTTTCCCCGATTTCTTAAAAGATACATAGACTGATGTCTTGTTTTGATGATTCTTATGCAAAAATTTATTTACTGACACAGAAGAAAATTTCCTGATCTGAGTTTTCTTATGGATTTCAGAGTTTTTATGATTTTAACCACCTTGGTTTATATCATGATTGATGTTCCTATTCAAACTTGATTTCTTTAGCAGAATTCATATGTTACATTTATTGTGTTGAAATTTTTACAGGAAGGTACGTTTAACTATTACAGTATAAAATTCTGACTATTTCCACTAAGATTAGGTAGCATGCCATTCACTGGGACAAAATGTCTCACTCCCTACTTTTACTATGCAGGAATTAGCTTGAACAGTAGCAGTGCAATCACACGTAGTGGAGGTTGGGCCAGCATAGTTAAATCAATTCAAGGTAAGAGCGTAGATTTTTCCTGACAACTGGAAACGTAGGTTAGCTAAATTAGTAAATAAATTTAATAGAAAGGGAGTAGGATAGGATTACATTAGCCGACGTGTTGCTGCATAAGAGACATAGTGGCACGCCAGTCGCTGCCTGGCTGTCATGTCTTACTGAGTCAATAATGGTAGGGCATGAAAGTTAAAGTGGTATCAGAGCCCAGATTTGGCATAAGTAATATAAGAGTTTAGGGTGAGCCTAGCAGCCATCACATCATGGTAAACCTGTCTATTTTTCTTATAATAAGGGCTTCTTAAAAGGTCCTTTGTTGCAGCATTGGGAGCCTAGGGAAAGAATTACAAGAACCGGGTGTGCAGAATGTAACAGTAAGAAGGGGTGAGGATAAAGACGTGGGGAAGACCTAGTAACGACTTTGTTTGGAGGGTTGTCTTCCAACATGGCCTCATGGTTAATGTTCAAAACCCCATCCTCATTAACCAGAATTATTGTCCCAACAACAAAGGCTACCCCTATCAGGTCTGTTGCTTCTCAACTATCTCCAAGAGATTTCTAAAAATTACATCAGACACACCTAAAAGTATCACCTTTTCACTATACCCCTAATTGCAGTTTCTAGCTTGTAGCACTAAGTTTCTAATTCCCACCTTTGCCCATCTTGTACTTTAACTGTCCCAAGAACAGCTTGAATCCCAAGAATCTAAACGGCTTAAAATTTGGCTTGTAACATGTTGATGAGCAGGCATTGGGCATGAAAATTAGCGAGGTGGTGTATGAAAATATACACGGAACGTCAACAACAGAAGTAGCCGTGAAATTTGATTGTAGCAAAGCCCATCCATGCACTGGCATAAGATTACAAGACGTGAAGCTTACTTACAGGAATCAGCCAGCTAAAGCAACTTGTGACAATGCCGGAGGCACAGCTTTCGGTTACGTTGAACCTACCAGTTGTTTGTAATTTTAGCTAATTACTAGCTATTTTATTCATTTTTCCAAAATCTACAAAAACTATTGTCTAGTTTGTGATGGAAATAAAATTTCACGTTGGAAAAATATAAAAAGTCAAAGTTATTTGTTAACAAGGCTCATTCCCTTCCAATTGTATTATTAGCTTACTAAATGGACTATTGCATGTGGTCCATATATATGTATATTTATATTCAAGGACTTGGACTTTCACCTATATGAATATTGAAGTGGTACTGCTTCAAGTAAGAGTTGCAAGTTGACTCTTATAAATATTCATGAAAAGATTAGCGCATGACCTATGAGTGTTAAGGTAGGATTGGTATATTAAAGAAATCAAATAATATTATACGTGTGATATTTTCAATTTAGATGCTATGGAGTTATGGTTCAATTTATTTTAATACCATTAACTTAGTCTAGATCTTAAAATATCAACACTACTAAAAAAGTTCAATCAATATAATAATTTCTATTATGTGTGATATTTGAGTGATATCACAAACTAGTGGGAAATTATTATGTAGTTTATGATGGGAATGAAAACCCACATTGAAAAAATATAAAAGCCAAGATTATTTATTAATAAGACCTATCTCCTTCCAATTGTGTTATTAGTTTACTAAATGGACTATTACATGTAACCCATATATATGTATATTTATATTTAAGAAAGACTTGGTCTTAGCTTTGCTTGGCCTTAAATTAAAAGGGCTAATAATTCCCTCTAATTGTTTTTATATTTTTTTAAATTAATATAAAACGGCATAATTATTTTGAATAATATGACTATTTATTTTGCACTCAACTCACTACAAGAAATTTTACTTTTTACAACAAAAATTTTTATTGTCAAAAATTGTAAAATTTGTTACTAATAGTATTCTCAAAAAAAAGATATTGTTGCCAGCTTTGTTGGGCAACATTCATTGCTTGATGCTCTTGGCAACAAAAATAGAATTTTGTTGCATATTTATATATTATAGTTTATGTTATTTATTTTTTTGATAAAAAATTTTTGTTGCACATATATATAATGTAACCAATATTATTTATTTCGTTCATAGAAAATTTTTGTTGTGCATTTGTATATTATAGCCAACATTATTTATCTCGTTCCTAAAATATTTTTGTTGCACATATGTATACTATAACCAACATTATTTATTTTGTTCATAAAAAATTTTCGTTACTCAATGTATAGTATAGCTAACATTATTTATTTCGTTAATAAAAATAAACAATGGGTAACAATTAATTTTGTATTGAAAAAACATTTATTTTGCAGGTGAATAGGATAGTTTGTTGCCAAACATCCCTTAATCAGTCATATTCCCTATATTTTGTGACAATTTTTAATATGGTTAGTAATGAAATATTTTGTGGCCAAATATATATTTTCCCAAAAAAATTCTTTTATGCTTAAAGAATTTTTTGTACAACAAAATAAATTGTTACTGATTCATCCAAGTTGATTTTAGACAACAAAATTTTTCATGCCTAAAATACTTTTCATATACAATTTTAATTGTTGCAATTTCATTAATAAGTGAAGTTTTAGGTAACAAAAATTTTGTTGCATATTATTTTCTTATATTTATAAAATATATGAGCATTTGGAATTAATCTAATTAAATTTGTTGATAAATTATTTTTATTATTTCTTTCCATTATTGCATCTAAAAATATAAGTATTTTATAATTTTAATTTTTTATGTCACTAAAACAATTTTAATTCATTTATATTTGACTGATTCATAAGTCCTATAATATAAAAATAATGTTAAAATCGTCATTTAAAATAGATTAAACTCTACAAATAAAATATAATTCAAAAATTCAATAAGTCATTCATCATAAAATTTAGTAGCATCAAATGTCATATCCTTTCATAAAAATATAAAATCTAACAAGAATTATATATCAAAATATTTCAAACATATATAAATAAAACTAACATAAAAAAAATGATTAAGACTAGCATATCTATTCATCATTAGCAAATCTACTGAAGCCAACATCACCAAAATTAAACTATTCCTTCTGTGAGTATATCACTTCTATTTTCACCATGGAGCTACAACAATAAAATCTGTATAAATATAATGCAACTGATATATTAGTTTTTCAAAATTCCAAATCATAAGAAAAATTTCAATGTAAAGGTATTTAATGAAATAAAATTATACTTTATTTCCCTTTCTCACATTTCTTTTTTTCCTTTTTGTGTTTCTACACATAAATAGATCTTATTAAAAAAATCTAAGTTACTTTGAGAAAAAAGGGAGAAAAAAAAAGTTGTAGCTCTTTACAAGGAGGTGGGGCTACTTGGATGTTGAAAGAGTAGTTTTTGGAGGAGGTGGCCATGCTTCTTGAGTCTTGCTTCCATGGAATAAACTTTCTCCTTAAGTCCTACAACACAAGAAGACCTTTTCCCAAGAACATTATTAGCAATTTTATCTAAATTAGGCACCTTATCCTCTGCAACAACTTCAACTTCGCGTTGCTCCATTTCCAACTTCAATAGAAAGAAAATGATATAGTGTACTTAGAAATTAAAAAATATATACATTGAAACTATTGTTGCAAACCAAACACAAACCTAGAATTCAATGCTACCATTTATAAACATTGCAAAATATAAGCTTGGATTTTGAATGAATCTTCTTCACATACATCTTGACAATAATTACTTGTAAAGCCTTTTTTACCCATATACATGAGAAGGATTTATAATCTAATATTGGAAGGGGGAAAAAAAGAAGATTGAATATATAAAATCAGACAAAAAGAAGAACAGAGAAAAGAGAAGAGATGGAGTAAGCATTCTTTTTTAAAATAATGCAAAGGAAGCATTTCAATCTTACATTCTTCGCATTACATGCCCTCCTCTATATGTACAAAGAAGGGAATAAAATTTGTTACACGCTAATCATAACGGGAATAAATTTTCTTTTACTTTCTTCCCTAGTTGACTTTTATGTCATTCTTCCACTGCTGTTAACTTTCTTTCGCTTTATGATTGTTTTTATTTCTTTTTTCAATTTTGGCTTCCACAATTTTTTTTTTTTTTAGCAGCAGTAATTGAAGCCAACATGGGATTTATCCATACTTACCAAATTCACTCAACACCCCCTCAAACCCCAATCTGGATCGTGCGCTCCGGATCGCGGTACGTTTTCATTCTAGTTCGTCTCAAAACACTTACTGGAACGCAGGTGACAGAAGCCATGAACTACTTCCTATTTTTCTTCTTCCTCGCTCGCTCTATAGAAAAACAGAACAGATTTAATAGACTCTCTCTATGTATATTTTCCCCTGTATACTTCTCTCTACCAATTATTCTTGTTTAATAAAGCCATTTATTTACAAATTCAATCACATAAAACTTACAAAGTAACAGGTTGGATTCAACTTCTTCTGATTTCCCTCTCGATGAGCCCATGGTTATGAGGCAGTCGTGAATTTGGTTCAATCGACGACATTGCTTTGTGGAGTTCCATGGCTGGATTGAGTTTGCGAATATGAGGATGAGCATTAACCTGAAAATTTGATGCAGTGCACATGCCCTTTTTCGTCTTGCACCACATGGACGACAACGGCTTATTGGCGAGAGCAAAAGCAGTGTCGCCGATGAACTTTCCCACGGGGAGTTTGGAATAGCTGGGATGGAGGCATAGGCCAGCCTTCTCTCCGCAGCAGTAGAAGTGTCCTTGTATGCTATTACCACACGCAACGCAACGGTAAGAATTTGAGGGGGCTTTTTGTAGAAATGGAACGTGAGTTCTGGGAAGAACTTGTGGGAGAGTAAAACAAAAAGTATAAAATTTAGTTTAATAAAATATTAAAAATTTAAAAAATAATTTAATTTAAAAAGTTCTAACGTACCACATAATGTACTGATTAAGTTAAATAACGTACCACGTTCTCGTTCCTCGTACCACGACCCGAAGCGTTCCACGTCCCCGGTAACTATGGATTTATCGCCACAAGGGTGCCCCAGCTAGGCGGCAATTCTTCTACATGCCACCAGGTTCATTGATCCAAGACTTCTTCATCTTGCTTGTAGTCCTTGTAGTTGGGGCAAAAGGGCTCCATTCCCTTTATTGCGTGGTCAATGTTTTCATTCCATGAACATTAATATTCAGTTTTTCTGTTTCAATTAGGTGTTAGGATGTAGTTGGGGCAAAAGGGCTCCATTCCCTTTATTGCGTAGTTCATGTTTTCATTCAGTGAAAATTAATATTCAGTTTTTGAGAACAATATGGCAAATGGGTTTATGATTTTTCTCTATTTTACATCTTTCAGAAACAAAATCAAGTAGTCCAACTCAACTGGTCTTCAACTATGAAAATATAGCAGCCAGCAAAATTATCACGGGGAATGAAGAAGAGTCTGTGTAGATGGATTAATAAATTTGCATAGCAGACAGAAAAATTATCCATGAGAATAAAGATACAGGGTCAATATATATTGATTGTATTATAGCACACCAACTCATCGACAATACTGAAGTAGTAGAACTGGTAAGTATGTCTGAGGATAAGAATATCAATGTTTAAGGCAAGAAGGACCAGGATAATTTACTGGAGGGGTGACCAATAGGTAGAATCTAAGAATTTCTATTGCATTAATATCAATGTATTTTCTATTGTGCTACAAGAGGAAACAAGCTGCCTAGCCAAGGCACCGGGGCCACACTGGGCCAATGATGACTGTGCAACAGCAGCGCCAATAAACAAAGATGGATCCTAATGGCCATTCCTTTAATTGCAAAAGGGCCATCTCTTTGATGAATATGTGCTCTAGCAATAGATTTATTTTACAAGTCTTGACATCAATAAAAAATTATTCTATACAGCTGGCAACTATTTGAACTTTATGGAAAGAAGGCACCATCAGGTGGGCTTCTTGAGGTTTTAAACTTGGTTCTTGCAAGATGCATCAGTGCAACAAGGCATGTCACTGATGGCTTTCATGGGGGGTGTCACT